GTTATAATTTTAAATAAAAATAATACTATTGATAAAAAAATAAAAAAAATAAAAAGAAAAACATACCAAATGTCAAATCTTGAAGCAGAGGCATCCAATGCCAAAGATAAAAAGTAGTTACTTTTCAAAAAGAAAAGAAAACAGACATCTCAGCAAGTCTATCAACGGCAAAGACAAAGCAACTACTGTTTCTCAGATTTACAAGATGATATTTATGCGAAGAAGAAAGTAGTCTGGATAAAAACCATCCCTCAGTGCAAATTTAACTCAGAACAGATATTGCCAGCTAATGAAGAAAGTAGAATTTCACAGTCGTACCTAACCTATAGTCAGAAAGAAAAAGATGGTTTCGAGCTACTTGAATTACTCATTTATAACGACATACAGCTGTGAAGATAAGAGAATCAATTGTTTAAATATCTGTTATAAGCAATGATGTAAAGTTCTCTTTTAGATGAAGATATTAATTTAAAATTTAATTTAATTAATTTATAAAATTATTTAAAAAAAAACTTATAACATTTTTTATTTCAAACTCCAACTTTGTTTATAAAAAAATCACTGTTTATATTTTGAATTTATACATTAAAATTTTTTTTGAAAAAAATTTTAAAATAAGAAAGATTATTTTATCTTTAAAATTAAAATAAATCATCAATTTATAAAAAAAATTATAAAATTTTTAAAATTTACATATTATCTATCAATATATCATAAAAAATCCAATTTGAATAGTTTATATTCAAACCTTAAATTTTAATTGAAATTTATTCAATTAATTTATATTTACATATACCTCCTGTTATAACAATTTGAATAAAACAATATAATCAAAATGTACTTCTTTCAATTTTATTTATAGAATCAAAAGGAAAGTTTTTGTCAACTGAATTAATTTTTAATTAGTTTTTAACACCTTACTTTCTTAATATCGTAATGTTATTTTTTTTAATAATTTATTTTGGAAGGCAAGTCCCTTTAGACTCTTTCCCATGATCCGTCCTTGATCACAATTTTTATATGTAAAATAAAAGTGAATACTTAAGAAATACAATAAAAAAGTTAGGCGTGAAAAAAATTGAAAAAATAAAAAATTAATTTAAAATTGTAGTATTTAGTTTGATTTAGATTTTTTTTTATTTAATTTGAATCAAATTTCATTATTAAATATATATATATATATATATTAAGTTTGGATCAAATTTAAGATTTCAATGTAAAAAATAAAAAAATGAATCAAATTAAATTATATATTTTTATTAATTTATATATATTTTTAAATTTTTATAAAATAAAAATAATTATTTTAATATAAATCTATTTAAATATATTAAAAATTATATTAAAAATATAAAAAAATCAAAAAAATAAATCAAATCAAATTATATATTTTTATTAATTTATATATTTTAAATTTTTATAAAATAAAAATAATTATTTTATATATAAATCTATTTAAATATATTAAAAATTATATTAAAAATATATAAAAACTTTAAATTTAAGTTTAAAATTCAATGAACTAAATTAAATTAGTAAAATTTGATTCGAAATCATTAATTCATATTCGAATTAGATTTTAAAAATTTATAATATTATATATTATTTAGAAAACTAAATTAAATTCAATCCAATATGTACGGGTATCACCTCTAAAAAAAATTATTATGGCAAAAAAAAAACCCAAGTTATTACCATATATAAAATCCTCCTTTTAGAAATTGAAGTGCACATTTGACCAAATTATTAGCTACTTTATTGGTTATCCTTTGAGAAGTTTACTAAGCATAGAGTGAAAAACTTCAAGTAATTTCGACCAAAAAAAATTTTTTTAAGTAATTCCTTAATTTGTCTCCTTTGAAGAATGTTGTGATGTGTTTCGTCTCCTTAGAATTTGTTCTTTTGTAATATTCCATGATGATAGAACTTGATACGAGAAAGTACTTATAAACTAAACTAAAGAGACTTGCATTCTAAGAAGTCTTTTTACAATATCATCTTGACATATTCAAAGATAATATTGCAAAAAAATCATATTTAAAAGAGACTTAACACAATATAAGCATTTAAAAAAAAAGACAAATTAAGAAACTACATGGAAATTAACACATGTTCCTGGAACCTTCAGCAATCAAATCCTACTTTATTTCCTGGACTTCAGAAGTTTACTAGGTATTGAGTAAAATTTTCCAATTAGCTTCTTTATCTCCCTTGAAAAATGCTTGTTTTGTGCTTAGTCTCTTAAAAAAAAAACCTTTTGCAATATTCCAAGTTAATATATAGAATTTGATATCGGAAACTACTTCTAAACTATTTTATATACTTAATTAAAAGAAAAAAAAAAAGTACTTGGTGTGATTATATGAAAACTAAAAAATCAAAATTTTGTTATCGATTAATTATATATGGTCATCCAATTAGAAATTGGTGAAATTTAGGAGGAAAACCCCAACAAGTTTTAATTGTAGTTTATATTCTAAAATGCATAAGATAATTGAATCCAAAATATATTATCACTTTAAAAAAATATCTAGTAAATTTAAAAAATTTTAATATTTGAATTTTTTTTATAGTGTCATTTCTTTTATATAAAATAAAATAATCCCACTGGAGTTGATTGCGGATTGCTCGGAATGTAACTTAATGATTTAATTGATAGATTATATGCATTCACTTTGACAAAATGATAAAATCCAATCTTGGGGTATGATTGTATTGTTATAATCAAAATGATAATTAATTAGAAAATGATTGAGTCCATCTGTTAGCATCTACCAACTATGGTTGTCTTGAGAGGTCATTTGATCTGTTAGGCAATAGTTGTGGTAGTAAAAAGCTGAAATTGCTTTGTGTCCTGAAACTGAACTTCACTTATATCATCCAGACTAGTATAACTAACTGTTCCATCATCCTTCTGAGGGGTAAAAAATCCATACACGTGTACTTGATTTTTATTAAGGTGTTCTTATAATTTATTTTGCAGGCAATGCTTTGAATCCTATGAAGCATGGACACGGACATATTTACGACACGATACGAATATGACAACATCATAGCAATTTCTAAAAAATAAAAACTGGAATACAGCAAGACACAATAATAAAAAAAATCTTTTATATGTTGTAATCATCAGTTAAGAATATATGGTAGATATTTGGCTGATTTTTAAAAAGTAATTACCTTTGTAAAGAAAAACTAATGTAAATATGGCAATAAAATAACATAGGATGTCGTTACCCGCAAGAAAATTGTCTTTTTCTTCTTCCTTCTTCCCTGCTGAATCTGGTCAAATTCAGTAGTATTCCAACATGTTCTGGTAAGTATGTTGGAAGCGTTAAAGTGTCGAACGCGAATACAACAGAAGTACGCAAGAAGTTCAAACGCAAGAGGTACAAAGTATTACCTTGTACATTTAGAAGTTTGAGTGCTTCCTTTGTTTCCTGTCAGTTTATTTTGTGCTCACTTGATCAAAGTGATAAATTTCGGTTTACAGGCATTCGGATAGGTTGCATGATTTGTGAGACAACATAACTTTCCAGCATTTAAAATATTTATGGTTACTTTTTGTTTCAAGTTTTGATACTCAATGACATTTTGGAACCCAGTTCTGTACTGAAACAGAATGTGAACATGGAAAATAAAGAAAAGAAAATGAAAATTACCAACAGAAAACAAAAGTTCTGATACAATGGGTAAATTTTAAGCTTGTAAGGGATGGTTTTCCTCCATAAGAGCATGATACATGCTAGAATTGTGATCCCAATGTAGCCAGTTGACAAATACTGATATCCCGAGTTCAGTTGTTTGAACATAGCAATAATTATGGGTTGCATAAAAAATTCAAGCTCCAAAAATTGCCTAAAATAAGCTGTGATGTTTTTTGCGTTCATTTTGAAGGAAGTATTATGCAGGGTTTGCATAATATATGAGACAGTTATCGGAGTAGCATACTGATTCAATTTAGACTCCTTTGGAAACAGGCCTTTTTCGCAAGCTCCTTTCACATGAAATTGAGCTGAAATTCTGCAGAATAAATTGAGAATAGTTATTTATAAGCTTCTGCAGAATAAATGGATGCTTGAGTTTGTGTTCTTTTATGTCAAGACAGGACATACCCCTGATTTGATGATTGAAATGAGCTCCTCAAACCAATACTCGAGCTTAGCAGCTAAAGCACTTTGTCGCAATCAACGTAGATGTTTCTTTATGCCGAGCCAGAATGCTTATAAAGATCTAAGAAGCATATCAAAACGTTTAGTCACTATTATAAATAGTTAAAACTTCATACATAAAGGCAAACAGTTTTCAAAGCAAGTATAAAAGAAAACCACATGAAGCTGTGTTGCTTTACATTGTTTATCATACAACCTCAGATTCTTCAAAAGCTCAATCCAGGCAAAGATTTTAACTTGTGGCTCCACCGAGCTGAAAGAAACAATCATCGGAAAAACAAAGGCTGCTGATCAATGTTTTATGCAAAGAATATGTTACGCATCAATATAAAGAATTGAGCTACAGTGGAATGAAACTTCCAAACATTATTGCACAACAGAATAATATTACAAAGAATTTTAACACTTACATATAGAATATCAATTTGGCTTTTACAGAAGGTCCCAGGTCAGCCAATTTTACCTGCTTGATAAAGTTCTTACCCTATCTCATCATTTATGCTTGCACCCCTGACACGGAGGAAAGATTTCTCTTGTAGGAAAGGAGCTGCTGCCCTAACAACTTCGAAACCACCAATGAATTGAAGTTATTTCGTCCTGTCAGACAAGTTCCACAACATCAGATTTTTGTTTTGAAGTATTTGGGATAAAAATGGTAGCACCAAAAAAGAGGAGAAAAAAAAAAACAGAGAAAGGAATCCTAACAAGGTTGGAAGTTTCCATTATTCTAAGTATCATGATTTCTTATAATATATGGTTTCTGATCATAAACATGGAATCTATATACTCAAGAGTATGATACATGGATTATGGATGGTGGAACATGATTCAAGGATATTGCTGGTTCTGGAAGAGCACCTTATTCATATTAAAAGACACAAATAATGTACATCAAACATAAAGTACAAATGATTTTGCTTCGCTATAAAAGGAGAACGTTTTAAAATGATTTCAGAACCCTGGCAATAAGTAATAACTTACCACTTTCATAGGAAACAATGTTTCCCTTGGGAGAATTTTGGCGCCATTGACGCTGTCCTCACTCCTAAGTCTGGCAGTAAATCTTTAATATCTCATCATTTGTCAGAAATTGAGTTCTCAATGGAATTGAGGCAGAGACTTTGGTATTAACACATTCCGGCTGCCACATGGTCAAATTTGACAGCAGTGAAGGCAATGCATACTTCAGCTAAGTAAACAGCATTCATCTTTTTCAGGTCTTTCCATCTGCTTTTGCAAACCACTTTGTGTGCTCCTATGAAGGCACTACTCACTAGCCTCTGCAACTTCCAACTGACTGAAACCAAAATTAGATATCAAATTAATCTTCACGCATATAAGAAGATAACAAACATTTAACAATTGAAACCATTCTTGAATGATTCTGGTAAAAAAAAAAAATCAGAAGTCAATGAAACAAAATGATTAATAGAAATAAACATTTAGCACATCGGTTCTGCTCTTGAAATTGTCCTATAGGAAATTTTTACAAGAAGAACGAAAGAAATATGTGTCATAGACTATAAAATAGAATTTTCTAAAATTTTATAACTTTTAATAAACAATCCAATGCCATAGTCACTCGGTCTTTTCTGTGACCAATCATAGGTAAGGCAGAAAGGAAGTACACATAAAGAACAGCCAAATACGTGAGATATCATGAATGATTCATAAACACAAGAAAAAAACATATAATATAGAAATCAGCTATATGACCTACTCATTCTGAAACTATTCTAAAATTTTCTTTTAAAATGGTAGCAAAACATTGAATCTTTGTATCAAACCTGGAGAGAACCATCCGCAAGTTCCAATAACTTCAAATTAAACCATTATACTCCATGATGGAAGAAGAAGCTCTTACTCATTTCTGCAAATACAGATTACAATACAATTTAAAGTTTTGTAGAAAAGAGATCCACTCCTTTCTAACAAAATGGGCTTCAAAACTACCTGTCCCCAATTTGATAAGCAGGATTCTATCAATGGTTAAACTTAAAGGTTAAAGTCCGAATTTGATCCCTCTACTATCTCAATCCTATTGATTTAGTCCAATTTTAATTTTAATGAATTTCTATTTTTATTAAACACAGATTTTTTTTATATATATATTTTCCATTTCATTGTAAAACAAAAAGCTATGTGTATAAGGGATTGAACTAATGAACCTTTTATTATGGAATGAAAAAACAATAATCATGAAAATAAATCACTTCATCACTTGATTTAATAGTACGTTAATGTTCTTCACATAAGTAGAATATAATTGCAAAGTGACATGTTCCTTATTTCTTGGCGTTCCTTTCGTTAACACACTAGCATGAAGCTGCTTCAAACTTCAATGTAAGATATGTGGGCTATGTTAAGAAACAAGCATTAATTCCAATGTAAGGTATGTGGGCTATTTTGGGCCACTCTTGTCCTCCATCCCTCTTGCATCGTTCTTCTAGCAATGGACATCTAGAAATTTCGAGTTGCAAAAGTGAGTCAAGCATCTCCTTTTCTGGAAGGAATTTGAGCTTGGGGCAACTATGGATACCCAATGATTCAAGAGACTTGAGATTTTGAAAGCCCTTGGACGATAGAGTTTCAAGGTTTGGAAAATCTGTGATGGTGAAGGAGGTGAGAGTGCGGGGCAGAAGCATTTCCTCACATGGGAATGACACCATATCTAGAGAAGCACCGTTGATGGAGAAATGTTGAAGAGAAGTGAGTTTGTGCAAACCCCACTCGATCACCAACTTGCAAATATTGGGTTGCGAGATTGTAAGTGAAGTGAGATTGGTAGGGAACCCCTCTTCTGGGAAAGATATCACACTTGGACAATTAAATATCAACAATTCTCGCATAGAAACGATGTTGTGGATGCAGTTGCGTAAGGCCTGGAGTTTTTCACACCCAGAAAGGTGAAGCTTTCGGAGTTTGGTGGTTAATAATCCACTTCCTGGAAATGAAATCAAACTTGAACAACACTCAATAAAAATCTCCCCAAGATGGTTGAGCTTGTTCAATCCGTGAGGCAAAGATCTGAAATTTTCGCAAAAGCTGATACTTATCAATTCAAGGGAAGAGTTCTCTTGAATTTCCTGAGCAATGGACTCTAGTGCTCGGCAACTATTAATTCTGAGGTATTTAAGCCCCACAGGTAACTTGCCATTGGATGATAAGGATGTTAAGTTTTCACAACCACAAATTTCAACAAGTTGAAGCCTAATAGGTAACTCGCCCCTTGAGGATAAAGATATCAGAGACTTACAACCTCCAATCTGCAAGTGCTCTAGAAGAGACGTGCTGTTGATGTTGCTATTTTCTCCATCCAGAAAGAACTGCAAATTCTCACACCCCATAATGGCTATACGTTTTATATTTGGAGGCAAGTTTCCACTTGAAAATGAAATCAATCTTGGGCAGGCTCCAATTCGTAGCACTGTAAGGGATCTGTAGCTGTGTATGCTTTCTGATAGCCTTTCTAGCCTTTCACAATATTGTATGGTCAAATCTTCAATATGGCGAGGGATTCGTCGTAATTGCATATGCTCTTCCTTTTCGTCCTCTGCCCCTAATGAAACAAGTCTTGAGCAATTGTGAATTTCCAAAAAGCTAATAGGCCTCAAATGTGTTGAGGGTCCTTCCTGGTTCTGCCATGAAGAAATTAGCTCCTCACATCCACGTATATAAAGACGTTCAGCTTTTATCAACCTTAACATCATCCCCTCCATTGGACAAGTGAATTTTGAAATGTTTGAAAGAGAGACTCTTTTCATGAATGAGCCAGAATGTACAATTTGTAGACACCACCTCTTGGCACCTATCAATTTTTAAGTCAGACAACTTCGGAATGCTTGAGAGTGAAACTACCAACTGCTCACATTCTTGAATCACAAGTTTCTCCAATGAAGGAAGACAACTAGGTAGATTTCTCAGTTGTTGACACCGAATAATCTCTAGCTTCTTCAATGAAGGAAGACGATTAGGTAAACTTCCTAACAACTTTGGGCAACCTGAAATGATGAGCTCATGGAGGTGTTGGAAAGTCACATTTTCATCAACTTCACAGGGATCCCATTCCTCCCATTCTGGCATGTTCAGAAAACATAATTTCTCTAGTGATGAAAACAAATTAATCGACAGATTTTCTCCAAAAAAATTAACACCCACATTTTTTAACTTACTCATTCGCCTCATAGAAAGAAATTTTAGCGAGGGTAATCTTCCAACAGCTGGTAATAATGTGCAATTTGGACAGTAATACAGATTCAGAATCGATAGCTTTTCAAATGAAGGATCTCCAATCCAATTTGGGAATGTTTCACCTCCATAACATTCGATGGTGAGCCTTTCAATCATTTTAGGAGGTTGGAGTGAATCCAATACGTCCTTGTGATTTTCTTCTCCTGCAAAATTGTAACTCCACTTTAAAGCTAAATCCCGAAGGTTCGACTTATAACATAACCCAGCCACCCATGCATCTTGAGCTTTGACAACATTCTGCAATTCTGAAATAACAAGTCCACCCTTAAGATTAGACAAATTCTCCATCTCCCTTATCTGACGGCCATTGTCTTGACTCACAACAAAATTTGTCAATGTTTGGAGATTGGTTAGTTCACCGATTCCCATTGGCATCATTTTTATTGAACGTGCACCTGTAATGTCAAGATGCCTCAGGTTGATTAAAAATCTCATTTCAGAAGGAAACTCTTTGAGACGAGAACACCCCCGCAACAGCAAGGTCTCTAAATTGTAAAGCTTGCAAATTGAATCGGGCAGAGTTTTGATTTGAGTGTAAGAAAAATTTAGATAACGCAGATGCACCAATTCTCCAATAATATTGGGAAACTCCGGCAGGTGGCACCCTTGTAAAGAAAACACCCTCAAGTATTTAAATTCTGGCAACAACTCACCGAGAACTTGATTAGAGATATACCTCCACCCTTCAGGCATCTTCAACCGTAGGAGGTTCTTAAACCCTTCTTTCCGTAAAAGACTAGGAATTTTTTAATTCTGTCTTTCCTACCACCAATGTAAGACGAATGGCGAGCATGACTGGAAACGTTCAATGCCTTGTCACCCTCCAGTCTGAAGCATATATCTTTGGCAACTGATTGAGCCAAATCATTAATCAGATCATGCATTATATATCGAGACTCATCCTTGTTGGATATTTCAAAAAATGACCTCCGTACAAGTTCTTGAAAGTACTCATGACCCAGATCTTCATTTTGCTTTGTAGCTGCCACTCGCAGAAAGCCTTCTGCCATCCATAATAAGACTATTTCTTCCTCAGAAAATTCATAGTCTTTGGGAAGTATGGCACAGTAAGCAAAACATCGCTTTAGATCTGCAGGAAGATGATGATAGCTTAATCGTAAAGCTGGAATTATGTTACTCCTCTCTTCTGGTAAATTCCAAATCTCACTTTTTAGTATCTCTTCCCACTTACGAATGTCCACCTTATTGCGCAAAAGGCCTCCAATGGTCTTAGCTGCCAAGGGCAAACCCTTGCACCTTTTCGCAATCTGTACACCAAATTCTTCCAAGTTCGGATGCCCACTAAAATCTTTTGCTCCTAATGCATGTTGAGTTAATATAGAAATGCAATCTTCATCTGACAACTTTGGCAGCTTGTAATTTGGGATAGTACCCACCATTGATGAAACACTTTGATCACGTGTTGTCACAACAATCGTAGCTCCTATTCCAAAAGGGGATATTAGACGAGTCCAATCTTCATATTTTTGTTGCCAAAGATCATCCAAAATCAGAAGTAGTTCTTTTCCAACCAGCTTGTTCTTCAATTCTATGTGACGCTTATTCAAATCATCTCCAGCATTATAAGATTCAGAACTAACTGATTGCAAAATTGATTTTGTTATCTCCAGGATACTAAAGTCTTCAGAAACACATACCCATCCTTTAAGATCAAAATGATTATCTACACGACTGTCATTGTAGACAAGCTGAGCAAGCGTTGTTTTGCCAATCCCTCCCATACCAATGATGGGAATCACAGAAGCTCCAAAAGGATTGCTATCATCACTCCCAAAAATCAATTCAAGGATTGCTTCCTTGTTTTTTTCCCGACCGCAGACTTGAGTTTCATTCACCAAGCAAGTGGTTGATCGCCATTCCAATGCTCTTTTAGGCCTCCCCACCACCACTTTTAGTCAAAGCCAAGACACTTTTTTGTGCTTCTAAATATTGAAATCTAGCAGTGATCTCTTTTATCTTGGACATCATTTCCTTATTAAATGATAAATTATGACTGCTGAACCCGGTGAAGCATGTATGAACGAGCTTTGGTAACTTAGTTGCGCTGTGATCTTGATATTCCCTCGTTAACTTGAGTCTCAAAGCTTCAGTAGCAAACTCATCCAATATGTCATCCGCATCGTATGCCAAGTCTTGGAGCGCGACCAACCAACTTTTCTCATGCCGGTCCTCCTCTGCATCATCAAGCACTGCATGAATATTGCGCATTGTCTTTTCCCACTTCTTGAGTTCCTCGCAAACTTCCTTCTCAGTTACAAAGTTGATAAACTCAGAAGAGGCCAACTTACTAAACAACCCTTCAAAGAACACGGATAAAGCAGCTTCAACGACGGACATGGCTTTTGACCTGCAAAAACAGAGAGATAATGTGTAAAACTGATATAGGGATAAACTCAGAAAGACTTAAAATAGAAGTAGAACACAACCAACAACCCCACTAGTACTGAATCTGATCTTGGTATATTTCTCTGTGGCTTATATCCCTCGGTAATTTTTTCTAATACCCCTATTAGCAAGAGTATATTTGGATGGGCAATAAAATTAGATATGATAAGATTAAAAATAGTGATTAAAATGTGATTGATTATTATAATGATAAAATTAAATTGTATAGTTACAAAATTAAAATTAAAATGTGTGAATATAAATGCAACAGTGACGATAAGATTAAATATAATAAAATTATAAATGAACATTAAAGATAGATTAAAATTTATATTTAATAAAAATTTTAAATTATTTAATATTTATAAAATTAAAAAATAATTAAAAAATTAAATTATTATTATATAAAAATAAATAATGAGAAAGTTAATAAGAATAAATAATTTGAAAATATTCAAATAAAAATAAAATAAATTAACAAAAAAAAGTCAACAATATAAATTTATTTATCCCTTAAATAATTAAAAAATAATAGCATAGAAAACAGAGAAAAACATTAGGAGAAAAAGGGGCAAATATGAAACAAAGTAACGGTGAAAAAAAAAAAAAAAACAAAAGTTCCACTGGACCCTTACCCATAAGGGTCCAGTTGAAATTTTAGCTTCAGTGGGGTTTAGAAGTTATCAATTGTCACGAGGGATGATATCCAAACGAAGGCTCAGTGAAGTTTTTAGTGTTGTTTGCACCTCACCACCGCTCTGGTAGAGTCCAAATGGAGCCTAATTAAGAAAGTTAAGGGATTCCTTAAAGTTCACATGGTTTTATGAGAAAAAATCAACAAAGGTGGGCAAATTTAAGACAAAAGTTTTTTTAGGTAAAATTCGTAATTCTAATACTCAATAAAAATTTAATAAAAATTTAAATTCATAAATTAATAAAATTTAATGAAAACATCAATAATACAAAAAAATATATTTAAAACGCGTTTTTATAATTTAAATGGGATTAATACATATTCAAATGTAAAAATTATGTCAAAATTTTTAACAAAAATTTTTATTTAAAAAAATATCAAAATTCATTAATTTTTTTTTAAACCTTTGCACACTCTATGTAATAAAATTTTTTAATTTATCAATTAAAGAGATTGAGAGTGTTTAGGAACTTAGGAGAAAGGCGAGGATGGTAAGAAGAGCATACTAAAATGTGGGAGAGTTTGGAGCAATAAAGAATGATTTTTGGGGGGAAGAAGCCATCAACTTCCAACCTAGATTTAGGGCTTTAAAGATCAAGTTTGAGAAAACTAGGGACAAAACGAATTTTAGGAGATTAAGATGTGCCTAGGTTGAAATTTTGGGCTTGGACAGTGATCGGTCGATGGTGGTTGATAAAGGTTGCAAGCCGATTTTTGGGTTTTGTTTATAGTCGATTGAATTTTTTTGAGCGAGTGAAGATAGTTAGAGAAAGAGGGAATGTAGAAAGAGAAAAAGAATGCAAAATGAAGAAAAAATAAACTTGGGATTTTATTGTAATACCCCAGCCCAAATAATAATTGAGTTAGACTAATACTAAAGCCCATCAGTTTATTAAGACATTATTTAGTAAAAGAAAAATGACTGAAGCATTAGATGAAAGGAAATCTAACTATCGTGAAATAGAAAGGAAATAGAGTTCTTCTTCCTCATCTTTCTTAGGGTTAGAGAATATGAAAAATCAAGTTGGAGATTCACAATCAGAGGCTACAATCAAGTTAATCCCTTAAAAGGTGAGTACATGCCCTCCTTTTATTTAAAAGGAAATATCAAGTTGATTGCTATTATTTGGAGTTAAAGTTTTGAGAGAAAAATCAAGAAAAATCATGAAATCCTTCATTAATCTTGATGATCTATTTGGGTAAATTACTGGGCTTTATTTATTTCATGTTTTTAAGATTTATTGATGATTATTGAATGGAGTTTGAAGGCTGAAAGTAAGGATTTGAGTTTTTAAAGATTGAAGGAAAAATTTTATTTTTGGATGAAATGTTGTGATCTGTAATAATGAATTAAAATAGAATTTTGCATTAATGGATAGATTATTGCTATGATTATTATATATCATTGGAAAGCATGTTGAATCTAGTTTCTAATGAAATAAACGAAAGTCAAATCTGAGTTTTCTATAAAGAGTTGTCTAATTTTAACTTAAAGATATACAGGCTGTAAGATAACAGTATCAGGGTTGAATTACGAAATTCTTCTTAATTTGTATACAAGGATTTACAGGTTAAGCCATAAATTTTGGAAAGCTTATTGAGTCTACTTTCAATGAAATAAGCGGAATTGAATTTGGAGTTTCCTGTTAATAAATATATAGTTTTTATTAAAAGGTATACAGGTTGTTTGGCAGTAGTATATGACGTAGATTTCAAAATTGTTATAATTAATCTACAAGGAATTACGAGGTGTGCCAAGTCTACTTTCTAACGCATTAAAGAGATCATAATTCTGATTTGGATATATTGAGATATGACTGTTTTAATGAAAAGAGGTCAGGCTATCAATATTAATTAGTTAAGTTAACCCTTTGTGTAACTTAGTTGATTTTTGTATAAATGGTCTCAAAAAGGGTTGATTAAATTCTGATCTGTTGAAATGATCTTGGATAGGCCATTAATTATTTTGGGGGAAAAACTAAATGGTGGAATCGAATGGAGGTAAGTAGAATCTCACACACTTTGCTTGTTTTCGAATCTATGAATATATATATATGTGTTTCTAAATGAAAAAATGTTTTATTTCTTTATTTTCGATGTATGAAAATAGGATCAAGCATATGATTATTTTGTGTTTCTCTATATAAATGATGGATCACGCTTATGAATGAAATGAAAAAATGATTTATGATTAAAGAATGATTTTGTGATGGCTACGTTTTTTTTACATCCTTGGAAAGTGGGATCATCGACACCAGAACTAGTTCTACGACCCTGGCTAATGGGTAATAGTAGTTAGCAAAGACATGATCATACGACCCTAGCTAACGGGTAATAATAATTAGCATAAACCCTGGCTAACGGGTTATAATAGTTAGCAATGATCATGAGAATGAAATGTCGATACGACCAATGTCACGGGTTATAGCAATGACCGTAGCTAACGATAAATGAATGATAATGATGATTTTAACGATTGATCCATGATTTGGTTTGATTATGATATTTGAATGATAGCGTATTTTACAACGATTTATGAAGTGACATATTTTGACATTGATTTATGAATTTATGAAATATTTTGATATTTTGATTTGATCAATATTTTGAATGATCTATATGATGTGTAAGAAAACGATGCTTGATCTGATAAGGTGTATGAGTCTATACTTACTGAGCTGTGGTTTGCTCATTCCCTTTTTACTTTTTCTTTATAGATGACTAAGTGATAAGTTTGGTTAGTCTTGTGTGAAGCTAGAAAATGAAATGAGAAAGATTACTTAGTCGTCGGAGAATATGTTGACCAATAAGATCTTAAGAGATAGTTTTGTATTTTATACGGTTTGTATTTGCACGTATAAATATGTATCATCAGTTGGATTAAAGATATGAATTTTACTTGGTAGATTATTTTATTGAAGAATTTTAGAATGTTTAAGAAAGAAGGCTTCGTATTACTTTGAGATTTTTTTCAAGGTAATATGACCGTATTACATCTTGATCTCGGAGCGTGACATTTATAGTGTTGCACAGAAAAAAGTTTAGAATCTGCACGTGAACTCGGATTCGACCCTAGACTACATGACTGGACCAGGGCCAATAACCTACCTGAGTTGAGCCTAGTCATTTGAGCCGTCCATTCAAGCTGTCGGTCGAGCCGAGCCACTGTTAATTAGGGGTATTTTCTATATTTCTTCCTTTTTTTATTTTTGTTCACTTTTACATTTTTGTGTATTTTTTTATTTTTTATTGTTTATTGTATTTTTGGTTGAATTTTGATATAGTTTTAGAAATTTTTTTAAAATTTGTATTGAAAGTAAAATGTTATATTTTAAAATTTATTTAAAATAAATGTGAAAAAATATTTAGAAAAAAATTTAAATATCAATTTTTTCTAAAATCTTTGAAAATAAAAAAAAAGAAAATAAGAATTAAAAATAATTTTCTAAAAAAAATTGAAATATCAATTTTTTCTTACAATAAAATTTAAAAAAATGTTTAGGAAAAATAGCTACTTGAGTTGTCCATTTGTGCCATCGATTGAGCCGAGCCGTTGTTAATCATGGGCATTTTTTATATTTTCTTTATTTTTTTTATTTTTGTTCACTTTTACTTTTTTATGTGTAATTTATTTTTTTTCTATTTTTTGATTGTTTATTGTATTTTTGGGTGAATTTTGATGTGGTTTTAAAAATATTTTTAAAATTTGTATGGAAAGTAAAATGTTTTAATTTAAAATTTCTTTAAAATAAATGTGAAAAAATATTTAGAAAAAAAATTGAAATATCAGTTTTTCCAAAAATCTTTGAAAATAAAAAAATAAATAAAAAATAATTTCTTTAAAAAAAGAAAAAAATTGAAATATCAATTTTTCCCTACAATAAATTTTTAAAAAATGTTTAAGTAAAAGTTAAAATATCAATTTTTTTAAATTTTTAAAAATAAAAATTAAATAGAATAAACAAAATAAATTTAAGAAAAGGTTAAAATATTAACTTTTTTTTAAACTTAAAAAAAATTATTTTGAATCTTTAAGTGATGGAATTATTATAGAGTTGCAATGGCAATTTCTACATAAAATTCGAGATGAGGTATTATTTTTTAAATGCTGCTAAATGTTAAATCATTTAGAAAATTTTTAATATCAAAGATTTTAATGAAAAATATTTTTGAATAGATGATGAAGTCTCTTCAAGAATGACAATAAGCATATTAATTCTCTTAATGTAAGGAAATATTTTTAAATTTTTTTTAAAAT